CAGAGACAATTTTGGAGACCCAACAGCTGTGGCATGACCTCACAGAAGGCAGTGAGACTGTTGCTGTTCCTGTGGTAACCATTCCCCCTGCCACTGTTAACCCACCCAGTATTAAGACACAGGACTCCCCTCTGACAAAAACAGAAATTGAGAAAATGTTAAAGACAATGTCCAAAAGCACCAGAAACAACAACAACAACCAGCAAAAAAAAAAAAAAAGAACAAGAAACTGTGTTGCATGTGGCCAGCCGAAGTCACGTTTCAGGGGGGATGGATCCAGTGTTCACTTCTTTTACCAGTCAGGAGAGGTTCCATAATAGTAAAAAGACTTGTAAGAGGCTCTGCCACGAAATCAGAGGCCAACTTAAGAAAATATGGATAAATTAAATCAGGACCTGAAGTTTTTCTGTGATCCAATGCTTTAAGAGCTTTATGCACCTCCCGCACAGAAAAAGGGGTAATGTTAAATTGATGGTCAATGTGCAATGGAAGGTCAGCACAAGAATCCACAGAGGCTGGATTCACAGAATCAAACAATGAGCCAGAAGATATGAAATGCTTATTAAAACAATTCACATTCTCCATTTTATCATGGACACTAACAGAATCCTTGTTTATGAAGGTGGGTAGGACACCAGAACTTTTACTCACTGAAAGACTTAAAACAATCCACAAAAGTTTTGGGAAATTATTAAGTTCTCAGTGGTGACAGACAAATAAAATTCTGATTTAGCTTTCTTTATATAGGAAGTACATTTGTTTCTTAGTTGTCTGAAAAGGAGCCAATCAGTGGAAGACCCTGATTTCCTAGCTTTGGCCCAAGCTAGGTTTCGCTCATGAATATTATCTGCCAGCTCTGGTGAGAACCAGGGATTTTCACTGCCTTTTATCCTGAACCTTCTTAATGGAGCGTGCTTAATCACAATTTGCAGAAAACCATCCCTAAAATATGACCACGCTAATTCAACATCTGGAAACAAGGCTATTTTCTTCCAGTCAAAGTTTGACAAGTCATGATAAAATGGTTGTTCATTAAAATGCTTGAGAATCCTTCAAAAAATAACACGATGTTTTGTCTTGGTCACCTTAGTGTTCCTAATAACAGCAACAACACAATGGTCAGTTAGGTCATTGCAAAAGACACCCATAGATGAAAATTTATAAGGAACATTTGTCAGAACCAAATAGATTAAGGTGGACTTTTCAAGGCTTTTATGATTCAGCTGAGTGGGCAAATTAATCATCTGGGTTAGATTAATAGAGTTGCAAAACAACTTAAACTCGTCTGAAACAGATTTGAGCCAATCTCAGTTTAAGTCACCTGCTAACACTATAGTTCAACTCAGACAGGAAATCCTATAAAGTATGCAGTTATTCCTTTGAGGCAGAGGGAGGTCTATAGCAACAAACCACTACAAATACTTTTTGAGATTTACATCCAGAGCTTTTTGAGATTTACATGCAGAGCCAGAATTTCCATTTGTTTACAAATTGATTCCGATAGAACTACTGTGGCATCAAATTTTGACTTAACATAGGTGGCAACCCCCCCCCCCCCCCCCCCCAAGCCGATCGGTACGATAGATGTTATAACCAGACATGCTAATATGATCATCAGACACAGAATTGGACAACCAAGTTTCAGATATTATAATAATATCTGCATCTGTTGACTTCGCCCAAACCCTAACCATATCTATCTTGGAGAACAGACTTAAGATGAATAATCTTCAGTCTGGGTGAGGATCTAAATTCAGATGGAGTTTGAATACATTGCAGCTCAGGACCCAGGTTTGGTTCCACATTACCAGGTATGAGCAACAATAAAATAACCAACAGTCTCTGCTTAGTGACATTACATGCTGACTTTGTTTTTAAGAATGTTGAGACTGAGCACAATGATCCATAGCTTGAAAGAAAATCAGACAAAGCAAGAAAATTTCGAAGTTTGAGTGAAACTACAGGTCAGTCAGACGATAGGTTCATGTCATGTGTCAAATGAATTGGTAATTGTGCAGGATGTGCAGCATAAGTAATACAGGTGGAGCTGGGAACCAAGTCTTGCAGACTGAGCTCACTACTAAATGTACTTGTCCTAAAAAAACTACATTTCCTAAAGTCCCCCACAACCAAAAGGAGAACTAAAGCTATGAAAAAAGCCATTTTGTACAACTCTTGATGAATGCAATAACTAGATATATGTCTGTAAGCTACACAAACCTAAGATGGCAGGAAAATCCCCAACCAACCTGGAAATTAGTCCAACATCCTTCAGAAACAGAAAAAAAATTGATTTAGTTTGAGTAGCTTCAAATACAGGTGCTGGCCAGTAAATTAGAATATCATCAAAAGGTTGAAAATATTTCAGTAATTCCATTCAAAACGTGAAACTTGTACATTATATTCATGCAATGCACACAGACCAATGTATTTCCAATGTTCATTACATTTAAATTTGATATTCATAAGTGACAACTAATGAAAACTCCAAATTTGGTATCTCAAAAAATTAGAATATTCTGAAAAGGCTGAATATAGAAGACACCTGCTGCCACTCTAATCAGCTGATTTACTCAAAACACCTGCAAAGGCCTTTAAAAGGTCCCTCAGTCTTGTTTTGAAGGCCCCACAATCATGGGGAAGACTTCTGACTTAACAGCTGTCCAAAAGACAATCATTGACACCTTGCACAAGGAGGGCAAGACACAAAAGGTGATTGCTAAAGAAGCTGGCTGTTCGCAGAGCTCTGTGTCCAAGCACATTAACAGACAGGCGAAGGGACGGAAAAAATGTGGTAGAAAAAAGTGTACAAGCTCTAGGGATAACCGCACCCTGCAGAGAATTGTGACGACAAACCCATTCAAAAATGTGGGGGAGATCCACAAAGAGTGGACTGCAGCTGGAGTCAGCGCTTCAAGAACCACCACGAGGAGACTCATGAAAGACATGGGATTCAGGTGTCGCATTCCGTGTGTCAAGCCACTCTTGAACATGAAACAGCGCAAGAAGCGTCTCGCCTGGGCCAAGGACAAAAAGGACTGGACTGATGCTGAGTGGTCCAAAGTTATGTTTTCTGATGAAAGCAAGTTCTGCATTTCCTTTGGAAATCAAGGACCCAGAGTCTGGAGGAAGAGCGGAGAAGCACAGAATCCACGTTGCATGAGGTCCAGTGTAAAGTTTCCACCGTCAGTGATGGTGTGGGGTGCCATGTCATCTGCCGGTGTTGGCCCACTCTGTTTCCTGAGGTCCAGGGTCAATGCAGCCGTCTACCAGGAAGTTTTAGAGCACTTCATGCTTCCTGCTGCTGACCAACTTTATGGGGATGCAGACTTCACCTTTCAACAGGACTTGGCACCTGCACACAGTGCCAAAACCACCAGCACCTGGTTCAAGGACCATGGTATCCCTGTCCTTGATTGGCCAGCAAACTCGCCTGACCTTAACCCCATAGAAAATCTATGGGGTATTGTGAAGCGGAGGATGCAATACGCTAGACCCAACAATGCAGAGGAGCTGAAGACGACTATCAGAGCAACCTGGGCTCTCATAACACCTGAGCAGTGCCACAGACTGATCGAGTCCATGCCACGCCGCATTACTGCAGTTATTGAGGCAAAAGGAGCCCCGACTAAGTATTGAGTGCTATACATGCACATTCTTTTCATGTTCATTCTTTTCAGTTGGCCAACATTAGAGAAACAAACATTTTTTCATTGGCCTTTAGAATATTCTAATTTTCTGAGATACCAGATTTGATGTTTTCATTGGTTGTCACCTATAAATATCAAAATTAAACGTAATAAACATCGGAAATACATTGGTCTGTGTGCATTGCATGAATATAATGTACAAGTTTCACGTTTTGAATGGAATTACTGAAATATTTTCAACCTTTTGATGATATTCTAATTTACTGGCCAGCACCTGTAGCAACACAAACTTTGCTGAAAGAAGCCCCAGCAGCCGATGCAGGAAGCCTGTTTCCTGGACCTGAATAGCTGGTGTAGAAGCTGGAGGCTGGGCCAAGCCTGGTGTCAGATGCCGAAGGCTGGATCAGACGTAGCAACTGGGCCTGATGGCTGATAAATATGTATGTCTGTAAATTTAGCTGAAAATGGTCCCAGCAATCGATGCAGCAGCCTATTTTCCAGGCCTGATAGCTGGTATAGAAGCCAGAGGCTGAGCCAGGCCTAGTAGCTGGTGCTCAAACGAACCACAGCAAAACTATAAGATATCTACTGCTTATTTCCTGTTGAACCTTGAGGAGTTTAAGTTCTGTGAGTCCAGAGGTGAGTCCAAAAATGATAAATAAAAATTAAAACTGCAGAAAGTTGTGCTTTTTCTGGCTGTTTTCTTTCTCCTGATTCCCCCTGGCTGTTCCTCTTAGCAGTGATTATGACATACACAAAATGCTCTTCAAATTAGAAATAAGTCTTCATTGAAAACTTTGCATTATGAAGCAAAACAAATTCAATTCAAGTTTATTTATATAGCGCCAAATCACGACAAGTCGTCTTAAGGCACTTCACATAATAAACATTCCAGTCCAGGTCAGGTCATTAAGCCAATCAGAAAAAATGTTTCCTATATAAGGAACCCAGCAAATTGCATCAAGTCACTGACTAGTCTCAGAGTCTTTACAGCAATCCTCATACTAAGCAAGCATACAGCGACAGTGGAGAGGAAAACTCCCTTTTAACAGGAAGAAACCTCCAGAGAATCCTGGCTCAGTATAAGCAGCCATCCTCCACGACTCACTGGGGATGGAGAAGACAGAGCACACACACGCACGCACACACACACGCACACACACACACGCACACACGCGCGCGCACGCACACACACACACACACACACACAAATCAGTTTAGCAGTTTACCCAATATTAATTAAATTACTAAAAAATAAATTATGTACTTTTGAATTATTTTAGGATTTATGTTAAGAGTTAGGGTTATTTTTCACATGACATGTGAAGACGTGATGAAAATACTACAAACCACAGAAAAAAACCTTTAATAAGAAACTGACTTTTAAAACACTTGAGAAGCAACAAGAAACTGTAAAAATCCATCAGCTGGAAGGGTGGCTCTTCTCACTGTCAGGTTTCCATGTTTGCCTCTTGGATTGGCTTGTGGTTCAAGAAACTTAAAGTGTCCTGGGTGTTCTGGCTCGGAGTGGACAGATGCTCCAGCTCATAGCCTCCACTGCGGTTGGCAGGCCGGACCTCGGCCGATGGTTGTTTGTGTTCCAGGATCTCCTGCAACTGCTGCCCGGCGTACTCAGGTTTAGTGGTGAGAGTTCCCACAGGAACCTCCATACCCAGAATGTCTGAGACCATGTAGGGGCGGAGCCAGCCCACCAGAGGGGTGCTGCCAGGGGTGTAGTGGGTCTGCCGGTGGTAGAAGAGAAGCCCATCGACCTGCAAACAGATTATCATTTTGCATTACATGATTTATATAATAAATGGTCAGAGAAGAGCAGGCCCTTACGCTGAAGCTGTACTCTGCTGCCAGGGCCTTCTGGATAGATGCACAGGAGCAGTCTAAACTCTGAAGACTCACAAACCGGAACTGTTGGACCAGAGAAAACAAATGTGTGTTAAAGCCTCCAGATGTGAGTAAAGTAATTAACAGGGTTTTTCCTGCATTCAAATTTGTGTGGCGGCTGCCTCCAGCTAATTTTCTGCTGCCCCTGCCTGATTTCACTCTGCCCCCAGCTATGAACTGCAGTTGCAGCGTTGCGCCACTACAAAGGCACTGTATCAGCAGCGGTGCACCGAAAAGCAGTAAAACCGCTGCAGAAAAAGATCAAAAACAGCTTTTCTCACTAGTTACATATCTACGGTTGGTGCTATTGACGTCCTGATTTTCCCCCAGGCTCTTCCATATCAGAGCAGGGCTGTACAGTGCAACAAAAACAAACTGTCTGTGCGTGTCTGTCTATTTTTAAACGTAGCACTGGTGCAACATCTTTGAATTACTATTTTCCCCAGAACTTTATTGAACAAAAGTAAGTTACGTGTAAGAAAAATGCTTTTTACTGGTGCACAGTGTGGTCATCTGGATGCAGTGGAGGAAAATAAAGGAACCAGCAAAGGCAGAACCGGTCCAAAGTTTGGGATCAAAAGTGCAGCTACATGCAGATTAGCTAACGCTAAAGGTTAGCTAACGGGTAGCAGTCTCACAATCAAGTGGTGAACTAAGAAAGACTAAACTCTACAAGCGGATGAAAAGTCCCCACCATCCTGTTTATTCTGCATCCTGCAGTGCTACGGATCAGAACCACTGCAGATACGAGTCACATTACTGCTACACACACAGGAGCAGGATGTATGGAAAGCCATTGTAGTACATAATTCACAAATGGTTCCATCTTTGAACATAATTTAAACTGGATTATTGCCTTCCCGTACGTAACAGACATGCCACCATTACATTGTTAGCAGCAGAAATTAAATGTTACCATTTCCAACACAAATTTCATGTTAATGACATGCATTATATTTTACTGCATATATTTATGTGTTATTTTGACTAAGATGAGTGTTATTGATACAAACCTGTCATGTTACTGAAATGTAAAATATATTTTTAACTATAAACATCAGATGGGAAAAAGGAACTAAACACCAATTTAATGCATATTATTGAGCCTTTCATAATAAGAGTGTTATTTCAGCCTGATAATTTTGTTGTTTTATTTCATATTTTTTAGCAGCAAACCAGTTTTGTTTCACTTGAAACGTTGTCAAATGGAATATTCTATTAATCAACAGAAGCTTAGATTAGAACACTTAACGAAAACATATTTGGCCTTTAAAAAAGTGAGGCAGTTAAATGCACAGAGTACGCATGTGCTGGTGCACGGTCAGGATGGTACCACCTCTGCCTCAGTTTGAGCCAGGAAAAACCCTGAGTAAGTAAGTAAATGTTATTTCTATAGCACTTATCACAGACATAGAATCATAAAGTGCTTCACATAGATCAAAACAAAATAAAACAGTCATAAAATCATAATGATCTCAAAACATAAATAGATTAACATCAGAAAAAAGATTTATGTAAAAGCAGCTTTAAATAAAAGGGTCTTCAGCTGTTTTTTTAAGTGTCCAGACTGTCAATGCTGCGTAAGGATAAAGGAAGATCGTTCCAAAGCCGGGGTGCAACAGTCTGGGAAGAGCGATCAGCTTGACTTTTATATCTGGTCTTTGGAACTTCTAGAAGGTTCTGGTGTGTGGACCTGAGGGCTAGGGTTGGAGCATAAGGCTTTAACAGTTCAGTAATATAGGGAGGAGCTTGACCATGTAGAGCCCTGAAGGTTCTAGTCAGGACTCTAAAATGAACTCTAAAGTTAACGGGTAACCAGTGCAGAGACATCAGAATAGGTGTGAGGTGTGCTCTTCTGTTAGCTCCAGTTAGGAGCCTCGCTGCACAGTTCTGGACCAACTGAAGGCGTTCAAGGGCTTTTTTGTTAAAACATGTGAAGAGTGTGTTACAGTAATCTAGACGGGAGGAGATAAAGGCATGGAGAACCATTTCAAGTTCATGTTTTGACACCAACCTTCGCAGTTTGGAGACATTTCTTAAGTGATAAAAACAGTTTCGGACCAACGTTTTTGAGTGACCTTCAAGAGACATTGATTGGTCAAAAACACCCAAATTCCTTAAGTTTGTCTTGAAAGCAGAGGATAAATGACCAGGTTTTAGACTAATCAGGGGAACCGTGCTCTCAGGGGCAATGATCAGACATTCAGTCTTTTCAGAGTTTCACTGAAGAAAGTTATCTTCTAGCCAGCTGATGATAGCTGATAGACACTCTAGTAATTCAGACAGTAAAGGAGCAGTACAGCTGAATATCATCTGCATATAGGTGATAAGAGACATTATGAAAAGAATCAATTATCTGAGCTGCTGGTTTAGGAGCTGCTAAGGAGCAGGAGCCTCATTTATAGAGCATGCTTATGCACAAAGCGGGGTCTAAAAACTGCATCAGTCATTTTAAAGCAAACGTTGTGATTTAAACTTGACAGGAAAATGTGGCAATTTTAGAGGGGCAATATCATAGAAAATCCAGTTTTTGGAGCTTTTTAACATGTGATGTTATTTCCTTGTGAAAAATATACGAATCTCTTCTAAAGACTGATCGGTTCTCGGTTGCCTTTAATTCAGAGTGAGAATGCATCTGTTATTAGCAACTTTTAAGTCAGTTAGAATTATTTGTTTTATGTCATGTTGTCATTTCTTTTATAATGAACCTTTAACTAATTTTCAGCATTATAGGAAACTGCTGTTTTTGTTTTGGCTTGTTAAGCACTTTGGTCGGCTTTCATGCTGTTGTAAAGTGCTATATAAATAAAGTTGACTTGACTTGACACCAGCCAGTATTTGGTGTTCTTGCTGCTGTTGAGTCTGAGAGAGCAATCTGTTTAATTTTAGCTCTCATTTCCTCCACTTCCATCACTTCAGTCGTACATTATTTTATTGTTTCTGCCTCAGAGAAAGGCTTCTTGTGTTTCCTCTAAATCCATGAAACTTGGAGGGAGCATCCTGTTGCTTTGTGCTGTTTGTTGAGTCACAGATGCAGAATATTAACCAGCAACTGGGAAAGTGGGTGACCATTAGGCAGGGATCTGACAGAAAATTATTATGGTTTTGATTGGTTTTAAGGTCAGTATTGTTGTTTCTGAAAAATGTGGAATAACGCATTCATGTACAGTGTTTAAAAGTGTGGGTGTTGAGATTTCTCTGAGGTAAAAAAAGATGAGAAGTAATAAAGTACTCTAGGGGGGTCGGGGGCATCCCGATCTTAGTAAGTAGATGTCATTTCCTGCATTCTAGTGCTTTTTAACAGGATTTTCAATTATATTTTAATGATTAGTTTTTAAAGCTAGTAGTAAAACAAACAAATTATCAATGAAATAAGATCAATATTTAAAGAAATGAAATGGCATGACATGTTTGGCCTGGTTTGTTATTTTGTTTGAACCCAACGGTCTAATTTCAGCAATGTGATGTATTTTAACACTAAAGATCTGTTCCAGGACTTTCAGTCAGGTTGTAGAGAGTATCACAGCATTCAAACTGCATCAGTCCAAGTTACAAATGATATTCTCATGGCCTCAGATAAGATTCTTGTGTCTGTTCTAGTCTTGTTAGATCTCAGTGATGCTTTTGACAGTCAGTCACAATATTCTCCAAACATGCTGATTCTTCCTGATAGAAGAAGTGAATCTGCCCTTTCTTTTGGTAGTGAAATGTCTAAAATGACATCTGGAGTTGTGGAGCAGATACTCACAGGGTTACGCTTGGCGACCTCAGACAGGCCATCTGTCTCCTGCACCTTGGACTGGAGCCAGTAAAACCGGAACTCCGTCTATTGGTGGGGAAACCAACACCGTAAATGAAAAACATGGCGGGTTAGTGGTTTGTGCTCCTCTGGACTTGAACATCTGACTGGTCTTACAGGGCAGTCGTAGACTGGGTGGCCTCTCCAGCACATGACATCCAGAATGTAGTAGGTTCTGTCCACCTCACTGAAGATGCAATCCAGAATGGTGTAGTCTGCATGCAAGGGTGAAAACATCTGATTCAGGTTGTGGAAACAATAACTGATTTGTACAGAAAAGACGAGAAAACAACTGGTCATAATGGAGCCAGATCCAAAGTGCTAATTCTAGCACAGAAAATGCTAACACAGGTTCATAGCCCGCATTTATATGGGGAGCCTAAAGCCGGGACCACACTGCATTTTGGGGCCTTCACACAATAAGGATCGGGTGGCACTTTGTACGATGCAAGGTTTCAGTCTTGCTCCAGCGACATGCTACGTCACGAGCTGGAGCCAAACTTATTTTACAACCCAGACTCCACAAACTCAGATACTTAAGAAAGGTTTTGCTAAAACATCTAGCTCCATTCCATCATTTCATTCATATCTTACCATGTACAATCATTAGTTTAGGGAAACAGAAATAAATTAATTTTATAAACTATACCTGACTCTGTCTGAACTAATGTGAAGTGTGTTCATGGTCCCTGAACAAGTAAAATAAACTATAATCGTATGATTAAACATTTAACGACCAATCATGTTGATATTTCATATTTAATTAGAAACTTGTTGATCGTTTGTTACAGATGTAACCCATCCCTAACACTACAGCTGAATCTTATTTACTCTTTCTTCCTGTTTTACCCTTTTCATTTATTGTCGTTTTGTACAGATTGGTTCCCTTTCTAGTTTCCAACCTGGAAATGTTAATTCCAAATAATGTTTCCACTTCCTGCACCTTTAATCTGCTCTAATTATAAAATGTTTTATTTGATGGGTGACCAACATAAACATAGCCTACTGTTTATAAACCTGTAGTACTCCTTACTGACAATACATGACAGAAGAAAGTTTCCTTCTTTGGACTTTCACTGATCTACTAAAGGCTTCACATTTTACCAACTGTCTGTTATGGGTTTTGCTGTTAATGTAGAAGGTTCTGGTCCAGGTTTGACGAGTCTAGTCGCGTCGGCACGGTCGGGTTTGGTGGGGCTGGATGGCGCGAGTTCGGTCTTCAACGGGTTTAATTAAGTAAACAAAGGTGGGCATGAGCTGTGTTGCTTTTGGAGACCCTCAACCACATTATTTTATTAATTTGCTGTGTGTGTCCTCATAATCTTGTGCCACACACACACACACTGCTTTCTTCCCTGTGCAGCTGTCTGTTCGCCGAGGTGAGAGCTGTGATGCAGAGGACTAGGGCTGCAACAAACGATTATTTGGATAATCGATTAATCGGATGGGGTCTCGACACGATTAATCGATTAATCGGATTACATGGGGAAATTTTTAAAAACTGCTAGGGAAACGTTATTTCTCTCCTTCCTTCACTTTATTTAACACAACATTATTAGAAAACAGTTCAATAGCAGAAAAACAACATGCCATCACCTAAATTGTCTTATAAGGTGTATAGACAGAGACCCTAAGCTACATCTATCTGTGACCTAAAATGCTTGGTCCAAGTTAAACAGCTTAAGGGCAATTCTCATCTGTTTTGTTTGATCTCATCTGTTGACATTTATTTTAAATGTAATTAAACATAGGCTGTGAATTAATCAAAATTGATCACTATTTCCAAAAATGACTGAAAAAATACCAAATAAAACAAAAGTAAATGAATGCCATCCTCCTTGCGATGATGCCCTGGGCAACTGCCATAAAGTCACATCAAGAAATGCTGCTGATCATTCCAATGATCCCAAATAGACTCACATTAGGCCACATGAAAGCAACTGAACCCAAAAATATATTAACCAGTATATAACTGCACTCTCACACAATACGCCTGCAGCATCAGTTAGGACTCCTCCCTACCTTTTAAAAGCGTTTTTGCTTCTGAGGACATTGTGGTTGTAAAACCACACGCTAGTAGTCTGGCCCCGGTGTGATCAACCAGTTTCTGCGGGAATGTGACGGCGGAACCAGGGCCAGATTAACACTTTGTTGTACCCTGGGCAACAATATTCAAGGGCTCCATCATCACGACCCAAGGATCACCATAATATGGTCACATACAGAATATTTTACTGTAATATGCAGTAAATATACTCAATACTTGAATGCCTGACAACACGTAACCCGCCCAGAGTAACCTTTGACCCACCTCGTGTGGACTGACCAATGAGGAGAGGGTCTTAACTTGAGGCCCTCTCTTCATTGGTTAGTCTGCATGAGACTGACTCTCAACTGACGTTCAGTCATAGGCAGCGAAGCGTCTCTGTGCAGTGCAAAAGCCCGGGTGGACAGTTTGTTTAATGTAGGGTGACCATATTTCCATTTCCAAACAAGAGGACAGGGGATCTGTGCCTATGACGTCACACTATGGCAACGCCACACAAACCATGTTGGGACCCATTTTTTGTAAGAACTAAATTAATATCAGATTCTGCCAATTAAAGGGCTCTAAAACAATTCATATGTAAATATTTTGCATATTTAATGCAAAATCTAATTTTTCTGCTTTAGTGCTGCAACAAGGTTTTATTAATAATAAATTATTATACCTTTTGTTTTACTACAGCATCGGTAAGCTTCCTGTGCACAGATTATTAAGGATGCTTGTTTCAGCTGTGAGATTAGACGATAGGATCAATGAAAAAATAAGTTGTCACACACTCCATGGAAACTTTCAGAGAATCCACAAATAGTGGCTTTCAAATGGTTTTGTTACTTTTTGCAAGTTTATAAAAGAAGCAGATGAGACAGCATGTCTGATAATTTAGTTTTTCATCTGATAATATTAGAACATGTCAGTAATGTCTGAGGGGCTTTTATAAACACCATATAACTAACACTACTGGAGAGGGCATGAATTACACAGAGGCTTCTGGGGAGCCCAGTTATTGGGGGGGGGGGGGGGGGGCATTTTGCCTTGGCCCCCAAAATGTCTTGAAACGGCCCTGGGTGTGTGACTGAGTTTTTAAGGTGATCTGAATTGTATCAGATGTGTAAATATGACATGTGTATAACTTATTGTTTTTTATAGGTAAAAACGTGTAGTGGTGATAAATCTACCTACATTTTACTTTTCAACACTTTGTTTTGTTTTCTTGTTTTTATTGAACTATTTTCCTGTCCTGTCTGTCTCTCATCTTCCTGCATCTCCTCTTAATTCTCCAGAAAATCTGTTGCCTGGATTCTTACCTTTTCACCTCATCAGTTACTTTTGAGCAGATCAAAGGGATCTCCTGACCGAAAAGCGCAGAGCGCGTTTTCGATGCTGCGTGAGGTGACATCACCACAGCACAGGTGATGAGCTCCGCAGTAACGAGCTTCAGGCACAAATAAGACAGAAAATAGAGAACATGTGCGGACATGAACGATCGTGTGCTAATTATAGTTTTTTGGTTGCGCCACTTTGAGAATGGACCGTGCGCTGGAAGCAGCTGCCTGGATCGCTGTGCAACAATGCGGAACCGGTTCGCAGCAGCGCAAGTCTGCCGGCTCTCCCTCGCGCTGATCTGCCGCTACCGGCTCTCCCTCGCGCTGATCTGCGGCTCTCCCTCGCGCTGATCTGCGGCTCTCCCTCGCGCTGATCTGACTTGCTCTGGTCTGCGCGCAACGGCAGGCGGGGGGGGGGGGGGGGGGGGGGCTTTTGGAAGAGTTGTGCGACACAACGAATCGATGACGCAATTCGTTGCCAACGCTTTTAGTAATCGATTTTCATCGAATTTATCGATTCGTTGTTGCAGCCCTACAGAGGACACACACACACCTCACTCTCTTCTTGTTCTCCCACTGATCGGCAGTGCCGTGCTACAAACAGATAAGTTTACTCAAAAATAAAGAACTTGGGTTCTAGAACTGCACAGCATGCTGTGAGGGACACAGACCCAACCCAGGGTTTCCCCTAGCGTTTTATCAGCCTGGCGACCCGCCAGGCTAAGCTTCGTGCCCCCCCCCCCCAAACCCTACCATGCTCGCTGACACGAACGACGAAACGAGATCCCTCAGCTGATACAGGTGGGAAACAGCAGCGAAACATGCCCCCCCCCCCACTCCCACGGAGGAGCACTGCGGGGCGAAGCGCGTAAGTCTTACTTGTATTTACCTACGAAGTCCAGCTCTCTGCTCTAGAGAAGCCTGGCCCACTCACCTTTTCCCATGGCAGAGTTGTGTCTGTTCCCACCAGGCAGCAGGGATGGGAAGCGGTTCACACAATAGCCACTCTTAGTATACGCTGCAGTGGAGCCCTTAAAAAGGAAAGCCGTCACAGGGAGGAACAAAGGAGAAGAGGAGACATCTTTAGCAGCCTTACAAACAACTTTCAGAGCTCTTAATTAACGTGCAGCAGCTCTTCTCCAAGACTAGGGTACACCGGAGCCAGGTGCGCCGCATCACACCGACATTTTAAATAGAAGCCATTATGGTTAATGAGAGTGGCTACACGGGGAGCGCTGCATCCCAGAAGCGCTGCGCCGAGGCGCTGAAGATAGGCGCTGTTTCTGTCTCAAGCACCATGGCTGTTTACAGCATTGTGGAGTACTTTACCACAGACATTACAAACGGAATGGCTTGCTAGGGCTGGGCAATAAATCGAAAATTTATCATTACTGAAATTTGTGACTCTTATTGAGGTAATTTTTCCCATGTCAATAAATCTGATAATAAAATGAAAAGATGTGTGTGGGTTGGCAAGGTACATGTTCCTTTCAGAAGCAGCACCACCTTGAGTCACGTAAAAATGTGACTCAACTAATACATGTGACAGCCCCATCTAGTGGACAACTTTTGTCTTTGCGCATACGTGTAGTTATCGTCCATTATTGTTATCGAGGTGAAACCCTCAATATGTTGTGATATTGATTTTAGGCCATATCGCCCAGCCCTAGTACTCACCTATTTTTAATGAATTAGTCTCTCAACACATGACGCCAAGTCTGATCGCGTAAAATCAAGAGAGTCAATTTCTGTTTCCTGTTCTCAAGTCCCGCATGATGTTGTGACGATCGCACAACTTTCCAAGATGCGCTCAACGGCGCGGCGCGTCCTGTGTGACCACTTGACTTCTCAAAACCGCGGTGTGTCTGCCTCCAGGGTGCCCCTGGCAGATAAAGTACTAACACTTTACAATAATGTACCATATTCGGATTACCTACCACACAAAAGTAGTAGGTAATGTTCAAGTACTGAGTAAGTAATGATTCATTCTTCAGTAGGTACTTGAGAGTATGGTTCAACGATCACAATTATATTCTGAAGAATAATCACAGTTTCACCATTATTTTACATGAACTGTTTTCACATCTGTATTAACATAGGTTACATGTAAAGTATTGATAAAGTAAATTTTTACATTCTATAAAGGTTTTGAACCCCTGAAGATATCTATTGACCCTTTTCAGAGATTCTGCTTAGAAAAACTCATTTGTAAAATCAAAGTAATCTCTGTAAGTTTTAAGTTATAGTTTAAAACTCTTAAAATACCTTTAAAGGTGTGGAACACTCGAGTAGTCTCTAGTAGGAATGAGCACCTTGTATTTCCTCTGGGGAAAATGCACCAGTGCGCCATGTTAAGGACCTAAATGTTGTTCATATTGTAGCTGAGCTTCAGATGAGAAGGTTTGAGAGTCTTACTTCCTGATATCTGGACATCTCTCCTTGGATTAATAAAAGCAACACGATTCTACCACTGGCTTACAGCTTTGATGTTTAATCTCCACAGATACCACAAGGCTGGAGGAGTTTTGCTGTGTGATGACTAAACCAACAACAGACTTCCCCGTCGTGAGTCCAGATGGATGAGTCCATGAATGCTAACAGTGTGACGTAGATCTGTCAGGCTTTGCTAATCCTAGAGTTTCACGCCTGTTTTCTATCAGAAGCTAATGCAGGAGGTGGGTGTAGGAGACTATCTTCATGCTCAGCCTGCATGAAAAACTCAGAGTGATTGATTACTAGAAATCAGATTATAAAAATGGTTTTTCAGTGAACCACATCTTTAATTTTATTTGCCTAACTCACAGGTGTCAAACTCAGGCCTTCGGGCCAAATTTGGCCTGCGGTCTATTTTTATTTGGCCCGCATGATCAAAAATACATTAAAACTTTTTTCCGCCAAGACTACATAATCCCAAAGTACTTTGCGGCGTTACCATGTCAGTCAAAGCGCCCCCTCCTTTATATTTACAATCATTAGCATCCATGCTACTAGAATCAGCGTCTGCAGAGATACCCTCCTCCTCAGTCTCAAACAAACTGAAAATACTCCTCTAAAGCAGAGTTTAATCAGCAATTTGCCAACTTTGAAGCCAAGAAATTGAGATTTCCACCGCAGGGCCTGAAATTCACTGCGGGATTGCGGGTATTGCACGTTATATAGTCGCTTCTCGCAAATCTATGTTTGTTTATGTATTTAGCAGACGCTTTTGTCCAAAGCGACTTACAAGTGATAATCGGCATTTTGCCCTTGAGGCTAACAACAATAGTAACAACAACAACATTGACATCAGTCATGGAGAGGAGGGAACAAGGAGTGGACAGTAGAGAGGGGGGACGGGTGCAGACAAGGTGCTAGTTAAGAAGATGCTCTCTGAAGAGCAGGGTCTTCAGGAGTTCCTTGAAAATAGAAAAGGAAGCCGCAGTTCTGGTAGTGTTAGGAAGGTCATTCCACATTTGTGGAACGATGCATGAGAAAAGTCTGGATTGTCCTGAGCGTGGTGTAGGCACTGCTAGCCGACAATCCTGTGATGACCGGAGCGGCCGGGCCGAGACGTAAATCTAGTTTTATAATGCGGGAAAGTCCCGCACAGCCTGCAGCGAATGTGGACGTTTGTATCGGAGCCATTAAAATCCCACACCATCGAACCCGTTCTTCATCTTGGTGAGTGGCGGCGCGCTGGATTATTTTTTTTCTCCACTTATCAAAATACGAGCTCAGTCCCTTGCTAGCAGCAAAGCAGTGCTTCGGTTGTCGGATTTAACGCCTGCAAGCAGACATGGACCGCTGGTTAAAACGGAAATCTGACAACGATGGGGAGCCTGCTCCCAAAAAAACTTTACAAGAGACCCCGAGCGCAGAAGGCAGCGAGGGAGGAGGCACTGATTCCAGCGATGCTGTGAATGAGACAGATCCTCCGGACTTTCAAAAAGGTAGCATCACTGAAAGTAACGTTAGCGAGCAGCCTAAAGATAAGTTTCAGGCTAACTGGCTCAGACTGTATCCCTGGCTTGAAATTAATAATGGTGAAATGAACTGCACCATTTGTAAAACGACCCTCCGCAAGAGAAGTTTCATTTCAACCGAGCTTTAATCAAATGGAAAGAAATGAAGCAGAGGAGACAGAAGACAGAGAGGACAGAGGACCAAGCGGAGCGTGGGAGAACCCCGCTCCAAAACAGATACAATAATCTACATAGTTGCAATCGTGTTTGATGCCACATCAACGAAACTGTTTGTGTTAAACGTTGGGTTAATGAAAATTCATCAGTTTGAGATAGAATAATTCAGAGACAGAAATCAGAGTAAGAAGCGAAGATGGAGACAACAGATTAAGAAGCACAAACAAGAGCAAAGATGCAGCCCAGAGAGTTGGACAACAAACTTCAGCAATGAAAATTGTTCAGATAATTTCTAATACCAGTGCAGCAAAAAGGAGCATTTTTATTTGATTTTTATACTTCAAAGTTATTACAATGGAGAAAGATGCAGTGTTAGAGGCCACGTAAAAGACAACATTGAGACAAAAGAAAAGATGGCCACAGATGCAGCTAGGAGGACCACTAAGGAAGATTAAAAAAAAGTTAATAAATGCATCAATCTGAGGTAAGAATACAACAATGTTAAGGCCTATTGTTAATCCTAACAAGTAGTTCCTGGAAAGTTTATATATCTTTTTTTAAACTTTTGTGTGAGGAAATAAATCAGGCAGAGGAGATGAAACAAAGAAAGGGACAAGAGCAACGAAGATGAGAATGCTGCAGGGGTCCAATGAAAGCTGCTTATAAACGTGATGTAAGGTATGATTAGAACAACATAAGACTGCACATTCGGTAGGTTCCTACCTTAGAGGCAACAATGAGGGATCTTTTCCCAACAGGACAGACCACCATTAGCCAGTCAGTGTGGAGCTCTGCAGGAACATCCACCAACCACTCTGACAGCATGAGCTGTGGGACAAGAGCAGCTTGATGAGCTGAACTGTGAGGCACAGGCACTCCCTGCTTGTCAGGACAACAACTGTAAGACATAACGTCCTGTATGCAATCACATCTGACCTGGTTTGCATAATGTTTGGGCAGCTTCCTCCTCTCCAACTCCATCCCCTCCAGTTCTGTTTCGTTATCTTGTCCTTGTTGGCTATCCTCCTGTTTGTCCAGGTCTTCTCCCTCATCACTGTCTGCCCCTGTCCAGTTCCCATCAGCCAAGTGCCGTGCATGATTGACATAATTCAATCTTTTGCTGTGATATGCAGAGTAAAACAGAGCCATACAAACATTTTAGATTGTTTACTGTTAAGACATTCAGAACTAAAAGCTTACTGTCACGTTGCGGATGTGGATGACGGTGGACCATGTGTGGTGGAGCAGATCAGGAGGCAGGAATGCAGGCACGGATGAAATCAAAGTAGTTTTAATGGCAGAGCGGGAACGACAGAACAAAAACAACGCTGACAACAAACAATGATCCGACAAAGACTGATACAAGGCGGGAGGTATAAATACTAGGGCTGAAACGATTCCTCGAGTACCTCGAATAATTCGAGTACAAAAAATCCTCGAGTGAAATTCTCTGCCTCGAGGCTTCATTTAATTCATGTTTAATTAATTCATGGTTTTGCAATCACCCGGGGTCATGTTTCACCCGGACCGAAATAAGTGACGCACATACATACAGCACTGAATGCACACGCAAGTGGCGAATGTAACTTAACTTTCTCTTAAGCCATGGCGGACAATGTCGACCCCGGTGGAGAGCGAAAAAGACAGAAAATGTCAAAGGTGTGGGACCATTTTTCACGTCGTAAGGCGGAAAACGTAGTCCAGTGTAAATACTGTTAAATGGATTTAGCCTACCAAACCATATTCCTCGATGCTGCAACCTGACCAGGAAACATCCACATGTAAATGTCTCTTCTGCAAGCGGACTCTGAGCCTCTACAAGATAATGCATTTTAGCCTGTATTTCTGTACATTCTGCGGACACTGTGCGACTTTTTCGTTTGTAGCACTTAGTTTCATCTCACACCGTACGTCTGGTAGCAACACGTCGGTATTAAAATGTGCTAAAAATAGCAGTTTTTACAACACGCCGGACTTTTTACTGAGTTGTTTGTTGATGTCCGTTGTCCCTCGGGATCGCTGCAGGAGGACACGGGTATTTATGAGAGGAAAACGAAATAAAGTAAATAAATGTTGTGTGATCAGTATAATTTGACATAACCAAGGCAAACATGCTTTCTAGACAATCCTTGTTAGTGTGAGGAAAAAAAAGTGTAGAAATTAAAATGGACGTGTGTTAATAGGGAAATGCTGGCGAGCCATGTTTGCGCATGCGGCGTGAGCGGTTCTGGTGCTGTTTGGGCCGCAGCCGCTCGCATTTGTTTACTGTGAAGTAAAGTCGAAGTGCTGAAGTTTTGAAAACTAATTTTGAATAAAACTTGAAGAATAACTGGCAATTGCTTGCTCATTTTAAGAAGTCTTTCATATTTTATAACATGCTGTTTGATATAATGGTTTACAAATGCAAAAGGGTAATTTATTAGAGTACTCGAACAATCGATAGAATATTCGATAGAGTACTCGATTACAAAAATATTCGATAGCTGCAGCCCTAATAAATACACAGGGGAAAATCAGGAACACATGGGCGGATTAACACGGGGCAGGTGAGAACAATAAAGACTAGTCAAGGGCAGGGGAGAGATACAGGGAGGCAGGGGCAGATTGTGACACTTACTGCAGAATATTTGATAGAAATACTGTGTTTTTACCTTTTCTGCAGGTCGAGAAAGCGGCGCCTGCGCTCATTCTGCTCCAGCACGCTGTACTTGCTCTTGTACTGAGCCAGCCGAGGGTGGGGGGCGGCCGTGCTGTTGGGCTCCTTGGACACAGCAAAGCTGGCCGAGAGGGCCTTGGTCAGGTCATCCATGGCCACTCTACAGATACAGCAGGCAATCTGACATCAGCTCATATCACAGACAACACCTAAAACTACCTTTACTGCTAAATAAGTTGAGAACTTTGAGGAGATTACAACATATGAGCTTGGAATAGCTGTTGCAGCTCCATTTGTGCCACAGGACCCATTGGTGGAACAAATCACTAAATGTTAACGTCTAGTTCAGGAGTGCATGTCCAGTTTTAGCTGGAGATGTTGGGTGAAGTCTAAATGCTTTTCACAAGAAAAAGAAAATGGGGATAATTCAAGAATAGCTGAAGCAAGCAAATCCCCCTGTGCCTCTGTTTGGGTATTAGTAGTATTAGTATTACAAGTGTTGTTATTATTACTTTGATCAAGAGTTCTTAGTGTGCTCTAAATTGTCCAATAAAAAAAAGTACAGTAATAAACTATTGACCACTTTAGATATTTTGAGCAGGGTTCCCACTCTTTTCTTGAAAGAATTTTCCAGGACTTTTCCAGGACATTTTCAAGACTTTTTCAGTGTACAAGTCAAGTTATCATAACTGCGGTTTGCCGATATCCCGATATATTTAGAAACAGTTATGATATTGTACCTACCCACACCGTTATTTTGACAATATAGTTGTGGAAAGATTTTTGTCTTTCACAAGCCCACCTGCTTTCCTCTACTTATAATGCAACACAACTAAAACAGAAGTTATTCTCTACTTTAGTTCATACCAGAGGTGTGACATTGTGGCATCATCAAGTCATCTCCATGTCCTGTTTTTGTTCTGCTCAGCAACTGAACCAGGTTAATCCACTGTGCTGAATGAAATCGTCGTCGTCTTCCTCCGCTTATCCGGGTCTGGGTCGCGGGGGCAGCATCCCAACTAGGGAGCTCCAGACCGCCCTCTCCCCAGCCACCTCCACCAGGACCCCAAGGCGTTCCCGGACCAGATTGGAGATGTAACCTCTCCAACGTGTCCTGGGTCGACCCGGGGGCCTCCTGCCGGCAGGACATGCCCGAAACACCTCCCCAGGGAGGCGTCCAGGGGGCATCCTGACCAGATGCCCAAACCACCTCAACTGACTCCTTTCGATCTGGAGGAGCAGCGGTTCTACTCCGAGTCCCTCCCGAATGTCCGAGCTCCTCACCCTATCTCTAAGGCTGAGCCCGGCCACCCTATGGAGGAAACTCATTTCGGCCGCTTGTATCCGCAATCTCGTTCTTTCGGTCATTACCCAAAGCTCATGACCATAAGTGAGGATTGGGACGTAGATTGACCAGTAAATCGAGAGCCTGGCTTTCTGGCTCAGCTCCCTCTTCACCACGACAGATCGGCTCAACGTCCGCAGCACTGCAGACGCCGAACCAACCCGCCTGTCGATCTCCCGATCCCTCCTACCCTCACTCGTGAACAAAACCCTGAAATACTTAAACTCCTCCACTTGAGGTAGGACCTCTCTCCCGACCCGGAGTTGGCAAGCCACCCTTTGCCGGTCGAGAACCATGGTCTCAGATTTGGAGGTGCTGATCCTCATCCCAGCCGTTTCACACTCGGCCGCGAACCTACCCAGCAAGAGCTGAAGGTCAGAGCTGGATGAAGCTAGGAGGACCACATCATCCACAAAAAGCAAAGACAAGATTCTCCTGCCATCAAACTCGACACACTCCACACCACGGCTGCGCCTAGAAATTCTGTCCATAAAGGTAATGAACAGAACCGGTGACAAAGGGCAGCCCTGGCGGAGTCCAACCCTCATCGGGAACAGGTCCAACTTACTACCAGCTATGCGGACCAAACTCACGCTCCTCTGGTAAAGGGACTGAATGGTCCTTAACAGAAAGCCACCCACCTCATACTCCTGGAGCGTCCCCCACAGAGTGCCCCTGGGGACACAGTCATAAACCTTCTCCAAATCCACAAAACACATGTGGATTGGTTGGGCAAACTCCCATGCCCCTCCATCACCCTTGCAAGGGTATAGAGCTGGTCCACAGTTCCACGGCCAGGACGAAAACCACATTGCTCCTCCTCAATCTGAGATTCGACTATCGATCGGACCCTCCTCTCCAGTACTTTTCCAGGGAGGCTGAGGAGTGTGATCCCCCTATAGTTGGAACACACCCTCTGGTCACCCTTCTAAAAGATGGGGGCCACCACCCCAGTCTGCCACTCCACAGGAACTGCCCCCGATGACCACGCAATGTTGCAGAGACATGTCAACCATGACAGTCCTACAACATCCATTGCCTTGAGATACCCAGGATGAATCTCATCCACCCCTGGGGCTCTGCCGCTGTGTAGTTGTTTGACTACCTCAACAACTTCTGCCCCCAAGATTGGACAGTCCATCCCCATGTCTCCTGGCTCTGGTTCCTCCTCGGAATGCGCGTAGGTGGGATTGAGGAGCTCCTCAAAGTATTCCTTCCACCGTCCGACCATAGCCCCAGTTGATGTCAGCAGCTCCCCATTCCCACTGTAAACAGTGTGAGCGAGTTGCTGTCTTCCTCTCCTGAGGCGTCGGACAGTTTGCCAGAACCTCTTTGGAGCCGATCGATAGTCTTTCTCCATGGCCTCACCAAACTCCTCCCACGCCCGAGATTTTGCCTTGGCAACTGCCACTGCTGCACCCCGCTTGGATATCCGGTACCTATCTGCTGCCTCCGGAGACCCACAGACCAGCCACGCCTTGTAGGCCTCCTTCTTCAGCCTGACGGCTCCCCGAACCTCTGGTGTCCACCAGCGGGTACGGGGGTTACCACCGCAACTGGCACCGGCCACCTTGCGACCACAGCTAGCAACAGCCGCCTCAACAATCGCAGAGTGGAAGAAGGCCCGCTCGGAGTCAATGTCCCCCACTGCTCTCGGGACACGGTCAAAGCTCTGCCGGAGGTGGGAGTTGAAGACCGTCTTGACAGGGTCTTCTGCCAGGCGTTCCCAGCAGACCCTCACTATGCGTTTGGGTCTGCCAGGACTACGCAGCATCTTCCCCTGCCATCTGATCCAACTCACCACCAGGTGGTGATCAGTTGACAGCTCCGCTCCTCTCTTCACTCGGGTATCCAAAACATACGGCCGTAGGTCAGATGATAAGACTACAAAGTCTATCATCGACTTGCGACCTAGGCTGCCCTGGTACCAAGTGTACCGATGGGCATCCTTATGTTCGAACATGGTGTTCGTTATGGCCAAACTGCGGCTTGCACAGAAGTCCAATAATGAAACACCACTTGAGTTCAGATCAGGCGGGCCGTCCCTCCCAATCACACCCCTCCAGGTCATGCTGTCATTGCCCAGGTGAGCATTGAAGTCCCCCAGCAGGACAATGGAGTCCCCTGATGGAGCACTATCTAGCACTCGTCCCAGGGATTCCAAAAAGGGTGGGTACTCTGAACTGGTATTTAGCCCATAAGCGCAAACTACAGTCAGGACCCGTTCCCCGACCCGAAGGCACAGGGAAGCTACCCTCTCGTCCACTGGGGTAAACCCCAACACACAGGCAGAGAGTCTTGGGGCTAGCAAAAAGCCAGTTTTGAAAAGTTTTGAATTGGCACCGTCTTCCTGACATCACTCACTCCTGCCTATAAAGGACACAAAGACATATTTTGAAAGATTGTTACTGTTTATACAATAAATTAGGCCTACTTTTCAAACCTTAGCTCTTTCATATCTTTCATATTCTATGTATTATACTTACTGTACACACCACATTACACTTTACTGCTTATTCCACATAGTTGGATGTTAAACTGCATTTTGTTGTTCCAGTATTGGTCATTTTAGGTTAGTCCAGTCATCCAGAAACAAGATTCAGGATAGATGACTAGGCTAATATCTCCCGCTAACACCACAGACATATTGGACCTGAAAAATATTTTTTTCTACCTCAGAGATAAGTACTTGTAGTTGTTCGCTACCATTTTAGTCTGGACTGTACGTAACATTACTATGATAAATATATAGTTACCACTTAAAATCATTCTAGTTATTAATTTAGCCGTGTTGAATTCAATTTAATTACGTTAACAACTTTGTTCAATGACCATGCCAGTCCAGTTCTCACTGCCACCTGGCTGCGGTCTGTGTAGCTAGCTAAAAACAGTATGAACAGCTGAGGCTCTGTCCTCTGAGCACATACTTAGTATTTTGATAGAATCAAATTCATGACATTTTTATCATTCACCTATTTTTGTTTCTGCTGTTGGACGATAGAACAAGTATGAATTACTGAGTGAAGCGCGGGTCCGGTAGACTACCTGCTTTCCGTTGCTATCCCGAAGCTCTCCTCAAGTTCACTCGTCTCATCGCATGAGTGAAAAAAACAAAAGCTCTCCGCTGCTCCTTTGTCACTCAACAGAGAGAAGGAGAAAAACCTCTCGCTCTATAAACTGCGATAACGCAATACTCGCGAACCGAGTCGCTACTTTTGGCCCTTCTTTAGAGAAATAAATCTAGGGGTGAAAAATCTGTAAATCTAGCCAAAAAGACAGTTGGAAAAACAGAAGTGGAACTGGAACTGAAGGGGATTATGCAATCTGATTGGTTGGAAGCGTCATGTGGGGCGCTGTGCCAGCTAGATGGAGAAATTAAAGGAGAAGCGCTACAGCCCAATATTGCCCAAAATGTTTAATCCATTTGTTTATCCACAAGGATGGAAAATTATTTTCCAGGACAACTCAAAAATTTCCAGGACATTTTGCAATTCCCCCCATTTTCCATGTGTTTTCCCTGACTGGAAAATTGGACTATCATTTTCCAGGTTTTCCAGGACGCGTGGGAACCCTGTTTGAGGTATGTGAATATATCTAAGACTCTTATTGTGAAGGATTAAAAGAAGTACCAAAAGGTGGTAGAGTGTACGCCCTGGTACTGGGAGACCGGGGTTCAAATCCCAGTTGGGTCATACCAAAGACTTTAACAATGGGACCCAACGGCTCCCGGCTTGACACTCAGCTTTAAGTGGTTGGGGGTTAAACCACCAAATAGTTCCTGAGCACAGCCAGTGCTGCAGCTCCCCACTCCCCACAGGGATGGGTCACATGTGGAGATGAATTTCAGCAGTGTGTGATGAATTAATGGGACTTTAACTTTACCCAGTAAAACCAGAACCAAAACTGTCTGGTTCTGGAGCTCAGTGGGTTCGCTACCTCCAGCTTTTCTAAAAACAAACCGTTTCCTCAACATTTTGAAGTTAATCTCTTCCTATAAAAATATAAATTCTTCAAATTAACACCAATAGCAGAGATGGTGATCCAAGTAAAATCAGTCAAATACACTCAAATCATGTGAAGGGGAAGTCAGGTAAATCGCTGCAAACATGATATCCTGGTGGAAACAAACATGTATTGTTAATTATAAGGTTCTAGGACTACTGTGTGTACATGTACATATAATAACATTTGTTTTGTAAGGTTATTTTACATTAAACGACCAAACTTTGGGAAATACGATTAGAACTGCGGAGCAAGAAGAACAATCTCGCTCTCCTCTCATTCATTTCTACAAGTATAAGCAACTTTAATCTGTTACACACGCACCACTGTGATGAAAGGCCACCATTAGATAACCGCGATCAATCAACACAGCGATAAGAACAGTAAAGCAGGCTAAAATTAAACACACAACTGTCTATTTGTGCAGTCTAACTAGAAATATAAACTGCTGCCTTGGATGAAGAGAAGCCAGGCAGCTTTAGATCAGCTAGCGTTGAGCTACACCGGCGCCTGATAGCCCGACGAGCTAGTTAGCAAGTCGGACTCAAACGTCTCGTGAAAGTGCTGTCCTATCCTACAGACGTGCGTGTTAAAACTCCGCAAAATGTGCGTTTTGGTAGCTGTATATAAAGTAAACGCATAAATACCAGAGCATTCCGTGATGATGCTGTCGCTGCTTAAATATAACGCTGCCGGTGTCGGTACAGGACCGAGTAACAGGACCTGCTCGGGTGCAAGATCGGCTCGGGGTCCTTCGACTGCCGATGACGTCAAAGTACGGCAAACCCACTCGGACAAAACACACTACGCATCTATACTGTTGGAAAGAATTTAGCAGTGTCGTTATTAAAATAATGTGTCTTACAACGTAGGTTTGTGTTTATAATGTATTTGTAAAATAAAACACTATATTGTATTCATAATGTTTAACTACTCTTTGAGCACATCCCTTGAAGGATCATAGGTATTAGCAACACCTGTGAAATTGCATTTGCAGGAAAAAAGTGTGTCCCGTTTATTGAAGTATTTTGTGTTCAGTTTTTGACGTCTTGTCCATGCGTAGTTCAGTTACGCTCATAACTGCTAGCCAAAACTCTGGAGTTAAAAGTTTTCTGGCTTTACTAAAATACCTGTCTGTACTAATTTGATTGATGGTGGTTTTACTTTCTATTAGACTCCAAATGTAATCATTTGGCACGTTTCTAATTCATAATTTGTAAGAATGTAATCGGTGATATTAGCATTAGCATTCCTATGGGGTTTTCTACGTATATTAGCATTGCGCTAACCACTCGCTGCCAAATTGCAGCCTTTGCGATTAGAAAATCTCCTTTTGTCACATCGCAATTTAATTGCACATGCAGTTAATCGTTCAGCCCTAATATACATGCAGCTCTATGCTAAAAGTGTATTTTCAAAGAGGTAATGATGGATTTCTTTGTAAAAGTTGTCCATCTTTCAAACAGAAAAATTTGCCTGGACCAACGTAACATGATAACAACATAACGTGATTACGTAATTCCATAAGGTTCATGTTCAGCCAGTCAACTACTTTGACATCACCAGCAGTCGACGGACCCCGAGCCGATCTTGCACCCGAGCAGATCTTGTACCGACACCGCCATGTTTCCTGATAACTTTTCGCTGGCCAACGAAAAAAACTTTAAACCAACATGAAACAACCATTTTTTAAAAAATAAACCTTTATTTAAACATCAGTACAATACAAAATGGAATTAAACAGTACCACAAAAATGCTGTTGTACTTACAAAGAAATTGTATGCATAGATAAACAAATAATTTTCAGAAACAACAGAAATAGAAATATGCTGGGGGGAAAGTAACTGATCAAGCCAAAGAATAAAGTGATTGAAAGATCTTGATTTTTTTCACAAACACCAATAGTTTTTATAGCTTTGGGGTTAGTGGAGTTCTTAATTGAGTTAAGATACTGTACAAGTTCAAAGGAGAATACATAAAAAGAGGGATGTCTTCCTAAACATTTGGACTTGTGAATATGAAATTTAGCCATTAAAATCAACAGGTTAATCATATATCTGTTATCAGAGTTAAATTGTGTTTGGTTTTTGTGCAGACCGAACAAAGCATAATTCCAAAACAGTACAAATCCTTTAAATATATTTTCTGAAATAAAAACACACAAACTCTGCCAAAAATCTTTAACAAGGTTACAAAACCAAAAAATTGATTGAATAGATTCCTTGGAAGTTTTACAAAAGCTACAGCTTGTGTCAATGTCTAATTTGAATTTGCTTTGAAGATAATCTTTAGAAAGATAAATTCTGTGTATTAATTTATAAGAAATATCTTTAATTTTGTTGGTAATTAAAAACTGATGAGGGAGTTTCCAAACTTCGTTCCACATAATACCATCTGACAGCCGGTTCCAGAAGAAAGTGACATATGGTAGCGTGGTTATGGTACTCTGAAATAAAGCTCTGATCGATTTATTGTTGTTTTGAGATTGCTTAGAAAAGCAAATTTTGCCAACAAAAGTTTGTATGGGAGATGTCAAAGGCCTGTGGAATGAAGTGATATTAGGTTGATTCTTAAATAGCATACAAACCCCTGATGGTATTGAACCAAATACTTTTGTATAATCATGACGATTTATAGCTAAACTGAAATGTAAACATAGGAGAAAAGCGTACCGTTTGAATCAAATAATTGGTTGACTAAAACAATGCTATTCCTAAACCAACTATCTAAGATGAGAGATTTTCTTCTAAATAAACCATACTTGTTATTCCAAATATAATAACTGTGTGGACTAAAGTTATGCTTGTAAATAAGAGTCCAAGCTAAAAAAGCTTGATGATGAAAAGCAGAAATTTTTAAAGGGATTTTATCAATATCAAAATTACAGGTAAGGAAAAATTCAGTGCCACCTAACTTAGAAAACATGATCACAGGTATAGTATTCCAAATTGAAGTAGGATTAGTAATTAGATTCTTTAACCAATTTATTTTGAATGTGTTATTTAAAGTGTTAAAATCTAACACATTAAGTCCTCCATTGACATATGAGTTCATAAGAACTATTTTTTTAATGTAGTGTGTCCTATTTTTCCAGATAAAGTTGAAAAGTAACTTATCAATCTCTTTTAAGAGTTTTTTATGAAGGTGCAATGCCAATGAAGCGTATGTAAGACGAGAAATGCCTTCTGCTTTAGTTATTAATTCTCTGCCTTTTAACGACAGGTCTCTTAAGAGCCACTGATTAAGTCTGTGTTTGAGTTTCTCTAGAATAGGATAGAAATTTTGAGTGATTCTACTTTCCTGATTTTGGTTATTATGATACCTAAATAAAGAACTTCTTGTTTTATTGGAATGTTACACATAGTTGTTGTCTTTTATCGCCATAAGTTCACATTTAGGAATATGCAAGTACAATCCAGAAGCTTTGGAAAATATGGAGATTGTTTCAATAGCAATAGAGATTTGATGTTCCTCTTTTAGGAATAATGTAGTGTCATCCGCTAACTGTATTATGAGTAAATCTTTGCCAATTAGCGATATACCTTTTACATTGCTTGATTTCATATGGTTAGACAATAGTTGGGCAATTAGCAAAAATAGGTACGGAGAAATGGGACAGCCTTGTCTTATCCCTCTTTGTATGTTAAATCTGGGTGAAGTACCGTTTGTTAATTTAATACTGCTGTTACTGTTATGGAACAATGTTTCAATCGCTGTAGAGAAGTAAGAGCCAAAACCATACTTATCCAGAGCTTGAAATATAAATTCTTGCTCCACCGTATCGAAGGCCTTGTAGAAGTCTAAAAATAATATGAAACCATCGCAAGTTATGAGGTCAGAATAATCCAGAATATCTAAAACCAATCTGATATTGTTAGTTATGTGTCTTTTGGGCATAAAGCCGGATTGTGTTTCATCAATAAGAGAGTCAAGAACCATCTTAAGTCTGTTAACTATAATTAGAGCAAATACTTTATAATCATTATTTAGCAAGCTAATTGGTCTCCAATTATCAATCAATAATAGGTCCTTATTAGGCTTCGGAATCAACGAAGTCAAACCTTGATTCATCGTAATGGGAAGCTGTTGGTTTCCTATGCTTTCTGCAAATACCTTAAGAAGAAAGGGAGACAACTCTTCAGAAAAAGTTTTATATAATTCAGCAATAAGACCATCCGTACCTGGAGATTTATTATTTTTTAATAGCCCAATTGCAACTTTGACTTCTTCTAATTAGATGGGTTGATAACATAATATGGAATCTTCTTGGCTGATAGATTTAACATTCAGCGATTCTAAGAGATGATCTGCAGCTTCCTGGGAAAATGTAGAGCCATAAAGTTCCTTATAGAAATGACTACAATATTTAGATATTGATCTGTAATCTTATGTTATAACACCATTTATCATTAATTTGCTAACATTATTTATGTTTGAGTGTTTCTTTTCTAAACTGAAGAAATAATGGGAATTACGCTCACCTTCTTCAAGCCATTTAGATCTTGATCTGATAAAAGCTCCTTTTGCTTTGTCTGTGTATAAACGATCTAATTTATCTTGTAATTTAGCAAGGTTCAATTTATCTTCTTCAGTTAAAGTGTCAGTTTGTTTATTAGCAGTGGCGGCTGGCCAGTAGAGGGCGATAGGGCACCGCCCTCCCAGTTTTCCCCAGTGTTTTTAATTTTTATTTAAAAAAATAAATAAAATTAACAATAATCACATATTCTAAGTTAATTGTGTGTTTTGTAACAAAAATAAATCACATATATATATATATATACATATATATATATATATATATATATACATATATATATAAATATATATATATATATATATATATATATATATATATATACATATACATATATATGTATATATATATATATATACATATATATATATATATATACATACATACATACATACATACATATATACATATATATATATACATACATACATATATACATATATATATATATATACATACATACATACATACATATATATATATATATATACATACATACATACATATATATATACATACATACATACATACATACATACATACATACATACATATACATACATATATATATACATACATACATACATGCATATACATACATATATATATATATATATATATATATATATATATATATATATATATATATATATATATATATATATATATATATATATATATATATATATATATACATACATATATATATATATACATGCATATATATACATACATATATATATATATACATGCATATATACATATATATATATATATACATGCATATATACATATATATATATATATATATATATATATGTATATATACATATATATATATATATATATATATGTATATATACATATATATATATATATATATATATATATATATATACATACATATATATATATATATACATACATATATATATATACATATATATACATATATATATATATACATATATATATATATATGTATATATATACATACATATATATATATATATATATATATATACATACATATATATATATATATATATATATACATACATATATATATACATACATATATATATATATACATATATA